AAGAATCAACCAGATGACTCAAAATGAAATGGTGCCTTTTCTTAATTATCATTTATGTTATTAAGTTTTAACGACGTATGGTAATTTTGTTGTTGTAATGACATTGTCTATTAAATAATTGATAAATATCATGAATTCATGATGACTATGGATTGATTTCTCTATTAGAACATGGCAGGGTTTAGAAAAAACAAAGCATTGGAGCTTATGGCTGTTATGTTAGAGAGCTGACACAGGTGAGACATTAAACAGTATACATATGAGTCACTCTACCTGAATCAGATGGCATTTTATTTTTAGTTCAGTTGTTTCTATTAATTAACACTAGTACCCACAACCAGGCATTAAGTTCACATACTGTTCAGTCCCTAATTATATGGTGATCGTGATCACAATGATAAAGATCTGTGTTGCCGAGGCTTATATTGTTATTACATTTCTTCAGCTTGATCTTAATTTTCTCAATCTGGGATTTACATTATACAATTGTAGTATGTTGATGATGTTACAACTGCTTTTAAAGAGAGAAAAAAAAACTACTGGTCGGAAACGAAAATCGGAATGGTATCTTTTTATTTCAAATGTTGTTATTTAGAATAAAATAATTATGGTTCTTATCTTGAGAAAAAAAAACAACAAACCAAACCACAATTAAAGTTAGTGAAGTTTGAAGAAGTAAGGAGGGAACGATTTCTGAGGGAAATTAAGTCATCGTCTTACGGTAGAAATTTGTTAGCTTCCCTCCTGAATTGCATCTCGTGGAAATTAAAAAAATTCTTTTCTATTCAGCATAGGAGAAATTTCTAAAATCCACACCAGATATTTAATATGTCATAGCAGTTTGTTTTACATTGGCAAAGTTAACCTATGTCTATCAGTTTCCTAATTCCATTTATAGATGAAGAAGCAAATATTCTAGAAGCTGATATTGTTCTTTGGTTAGCAATAAGTACTGAAGCAGATTTAGTTAAAGGTTGTTCAAGACTTTGAAGTGAGATATTCCAAATAAATCTTTTTATTGAAACACATTTTTATACTTTTCACATGTGTCATGCCTGGCCAATAGAGATAGCGGAATTATAATGAAAAATAATCGAGTACATTGTACAACCTTTATCAAAAATTGGGATAATATTATCTCTTCAGTGGGTTTGACACTCCATGAAGTGCCCAGCTCATTTTGAGGTGGGGTCTGTTTGCAATAGCTGGTGGGTTACTCACTGAACAGCATGTGGGAGGTCAATCACATGCTATATAGGGCAATCTTGCTAAAGGACACACCTACGACAGTGGGAGAGCACATACTTAATAGGGGTGATTTACGATTATGTAATGCTGATCTATGTGTCAAATACTAACAAGTTAATGAAAACACCGATAAGATTGATATTTATTTTTGTAAATATGCATAGTGGCAGCCTTTTTAAAAAAATTCAGCAATCTATAATACACGAAGTTGTCAACAATGACATAAATGATATAATATGAACAGGCTTAAAAATCTTGCCTGAATTTTCATCGAATGAAAATGAACCTTGTCAAGTACTGTTGTTCATTCAGTTCAAGCCAAGAAGCAAAGTACGTAGAGTTTTAGACTTGGGTAAACTGATGCCGGAAGTTGTACTTATAAATATAAAAGCTGATATTTATAAACGGGGTTTGATTTCTGTTGAAAGGTCGGGAGGTGGCTGCAAGATCATTTAACTCGTTGAGATATGTATCAGACAAGACATATATTTAGACAGCTTCCTGGATGTTTGCAGTATAAACATTGAGGTCAGGTTATATTCAGTAATGCAGTTCACAGGTGTATATGAATAATTTGTTACCTTGTTAAATCAATTATAGAATTTATGATGTGCCTCATTTCTGTTTTGAACAGTAAGTTACATTTACAGATTTTTAAGTGAACAAGTTTGTATGATGAAGGTATTTTTCTTGGTGTATTTTGGTTGATAGTTATTATACATTGCACCAGCAGTTTGAGATGATGTAAAAAAAAAAGTGATTTTTCAAATCTGGATAATGTCTTCTAATGTATATACCATGCATAGCATCATTATAATCATACTAATTATTACCTTATTTTTCTTATAGACTGCATTGTTCAATTGGAATTAATATTACACTATAGAAAGCTCATATATCTGGTACACCTGTAAATCTAATATCCATTGTTTACCAGTACACCAATTGTCACTTGTTATACCTGTAAATCTAATTACCATTGTTAACTGGTACACAAATTGTCACTTGTTATACCTGTAAATCTAATATCCATTGTTTACCAGTACACAAATTGTCACTTGTTATACCTGTAAATCTAATTACCATTGTTAACTGGTACACAAATGGTCAGTTGTTATACCTGTAAATCTAATTACCATTGTTAACTGGTACACAAATGGTCAGTTGTTATACCTGTAAATCTAATATCCATTGTTTACTGATACACAAACTGTCAGTTGTTTTACCTGTAAATCTAATATCCATTGTTTACCGGTACACAATTGTCAGTTGTTTTACCTGTAAATCTAATTACCATTGTTAACTGGTACACAAATTGTCACTTGTTATACCTGTAAATCTAATATCCATTGTTTACCAGTACACAAATTGTCACTTGTTATACCTGTAAATCTAATTACCATTGTTAACTGGTACACAAATTGTTATACCTGTAAATCTAATATCCATTGTTTACCGGTACACAATTGTCAGTTGTTTTACCTGTAAATCTAATTACCATTGTTAACTGGTACACAAATTGTCAGTTATTTTGACCTGTAAATCTAATTACCATTGTTAACTGGTACACAAATCGTCAGTTATTTTGACTTGTAAATCTAATTACCATTGTTAACTGGTACTCAAATTGTTATACCTGTAAATCTAATATCCATTGTTTACCGGTACACAATTGTCAGTTGTTTTACCTGTAAATCTAATTACCATTGTTAACTGGTACACAAACTGTCAGTTGTTTTATCTGAAAATCTAATTACCAAAGGCAAGGTCATACAGGAATTGATTAGATCTTTCTCTGGCATGTTTACACCTGTGATTTATTTACACCTTGAAGTGTTCAGCATATTGGTAACATCCAAGTATATAAAGGTAACTGGTTTCAATAATTACAAGAACCAAGATCACAATGTTGCACATTCATTTGAATGGTATACAAGTTTTATGGAATACCTGTAAAATTTGCTTTCGAATAAAGTGAATAAGTGCTTAAGTCATGGAAGGTTTCTGAGAAATTAAATGTCCTTTAATACACATTGAAGTACATTCCTAATCTTTAAGGAAAATTGAATTAGTCATCAAGGTGGGTTTTCTGTCATTGAGTCATATAAGGAATTTAAACCTGGGAAAAGCCATGACTTCTAGCTATATATATACTATACATGTACATGTATGTGAAAACATCATGTTTTGACAAAAACAGATCTCAGTAGGTGAGGGGACGGTGAAGGAACCCTATTTTTTGTTTGTTTTCTATCTTGATTGATCTAGAGCCAGGAAAGGTAGGACTTGGTTGGGACAACTAGGACTGCTAATCACCATGTTGTCTAGGTCAGACCTGTACAACCAGGTACCTTAAATATCGTGTTATTTTTCTTGACAACAAACAATTAGGCACTTGATAATATTTCAAACGGTGTATTTCAGTTATTATCTATGCCTACAAAGAATTTATTTTGAAAATAAACGTGTCATTGAACGTAGGTTTACAGGTAGTTGACACATATAGTGGTGTAGTTGACACACATAGTGTTGTGAGGCAAAGTTAGAGAGCAAACAATTGGTTGGCTATTCACCTGTGTTATACTGGTAATTTGGACTGAAATTTTTATATTTGCTGTTTGTTTAAGGATGTCCAGGAAATAAGAGAAAAAAAAAATAAAAGCAAATGAAAACACCTGGTAATTAAAACTTCCATTTCAAATAAAATTTAGACATTGATCATAACTTATTGCAATGGATCATATCGTTTCTTATAAGGTTTATGAAATTGCCACATTCTTTTTGTATCAGCTTATTAGTAAAAGCTCAGACAATGGAATCTCAAATATATGGTCTTTCGACCTCCACACTCCAGATATGTAAAATGAAGCATTCTACTGTGCTATCATTTTTCTTTTTTTTTTTTTTTTTTTGAGACAAACATTTACATTATCATCAGTCTTTGAGGGAAAAATTACCATAGACATGTACATGAAGTTTAAATGAAATTTAATATTTATCATGAAGTAAGACAGGGTTATCATATTACCAACAGTTTTGTTTATATCATATAATGATATCAGATTCAAAATTCATTGTATATTTTGTTATATCAGACAGATTCATATTGTAATTGTGCTGTTCTTGTTAAAAAAATCGTTAAACTATAGAGTGATTTTAAAACAGATTTCTTTTTTTCCTGCTGAAAAATTATGTCAATTCTGTTTACATGAACAGGAAGTAGATTTTATACAGCTGTTGACGATTAGTTTAAAGATCACAACCTCCTATTCCAAGCAATAACAGAAAAAATATTCGAGGGAGAAAAAAAAAAAAAAAACCTTTAAAGAAATAATTAATTTTCCCGTTTTCTTTTAATTGATAAGCTGTCTGCTGAATGTAGTTGTATGTACAGCTTTAATGTAATTTGATTTGATTTCAGAGTAACAACAGTTTATTTTGCCTTTTCAGATGTAAATGATATTATCTAATGTAAATTGAGTCAAGATCTGTTATAAAGACATACGCTTGATTTATATTCGATCTTTTATCTTAACCGTGAAATTTGTACTCGTTTTCAGAGGAGTATTTAGTACTGTGTAAAGGGGAATAACTCTTCCAATTTAAAAGCAAGCCTGCAAGCTGTGTTTCAAGAAAGACAACTCTTGCATACTTAACACAAACCAAGAACAGGAGTTGCTGTTGCAGATCATTTACAGTTTGTGAGTTTGGTATCTGTGTCATTAAGTATGTTTTTTTTGTGTTTTTCACAGAGAAAGCATCTGGTTCTAAGATGCTGAAGAAGGCCAAGTCGTTTCGTGATGATGTGAAAGGACTGATCAAGCGACGGCCATCCTCTTCAGCTCACGACAACTCAACCTCAAGTTTCAGCCAGCGCATCAAATCCCGCCCTATCCCCTTAAGTCGAGGGAGCAGCCTTGGCGATGCTGGCAGGTTTGACCTACCAGAGAAACCAGAAGTAAGTGGGTTTTAATGTTGACCAAACAACTTCGAGTTAAAGCACTAAATGCTACATATTTGTGTAAATTGATTGTTGAAATTTTTTTTCCTATTGATCTGCCAGCCTGGTAAATACTAGCTTCTTCATAAATATCACCAGTTTGGGAGAATTTTCTCTTCAATTTTTGATCCAACTACCATATAGGCAGAGGCCATGCAGGGAATAATTCTGATAAGTTCATGTTTCAGGGCGTTAAGTTCACTGTCACTATTTATGGAAACAACATCAACCAATTTAGTACCATATCACTCTGTCAAATTAATTTCTTAATGGGTTTTCACCAACAATGTAAGGATAATACCTTGAATAAGGTATAATACCTTGATGTTAACACAGACATATTCTAGTCCTTGAAATGCCAAAGCTCAACATTTTTATGATACTGACACACTCTTGCAAACCGAAGAACCAAATTAATGCAAGGGTATCCAGTATATATTCCCAATGGCCAAGGGAAATAATGACCATAATTGTTACCTTATTGATAATGAGTCCCTTCCGAGAGGGGAAATAAATATGTAACCTTTATTTTGTAGTTCAATAACGTCTGTTACGAAAAACGTGACATCTGTATGTATAGGCTGATTCAGTGCCATGATAGATTTAACATCGCTGAATTATGTAGTTTTTGATAAATAAAAAACATAATGTGTAATTTCATGGTTCATTCCAAAAGTCAATCTCACCCTCTTGTACATAATAGTTGGAAAACCTATTGTGACTGTTAATACTTCCTGGTGTTAATAATGATCTTCCAAGAATCCATTTATTGACAAATGAGTCACAGAAACGATTAGTAAAATTCAATACAAACAAGACAGAATCATTACTGATCAGTAGGAAATTGAACATTATCCTATAATTATGAACAATGTAGCTAGTATAAATTCTCATATTTGGGGATTATTATCGCTAGATGAAAGTTCATGGAAAAACTTCAAAGAAAATTAACGAAAACACCTGTGTTAGTTACTCTCTTCAAATCATATATTTTGCCTTTAAGACCTATTTTGGAACGTTCTATTGTCTTGGAAATAAGATGTGAAAGTAGTTGAGGTGTTACAAAATTGTCAAGAGTGATTTTATTGTATAAAGAGATGTAGGCTGCAAAATCTATCATACTTACTGTAAAATCATTGAATTTTACTATTTCACAAAGTTTTTGAAACTCTATCCTATCTGTCGAACTTAATCCCAGGCATAGTCATAGGCATAATACAAGAAATTATGGTCTTTTACTCTCAATGAATTGTAGAATCAATTTTTCAACGACTCATTTTTACCTGGTAAATAATCCTGCAAATCTGTCATTATGATTAAAAATAAATAAATAGATAAAGTTATAATACCTCAATTTTTTATCATTGAAAGTAGACATCTTCAAACTAACACGTAAGATTAAGAATCTCAAACTTCTCATACACATAACAAATTAGGAGCAAAGTCCATTATGTTCTTGCAGTTTAGATGAAACTACCGGGGTACTCATAATTTGTCTATCTCATACACTTTATTCAAACATTCAATGTAGGAATGGTTTTAACTGCTACATTGCTTTGGTATATCAATCAACATAAAGTATGTTGTTGCTGAATTCATAACAAGTCATCAACTGACAGTATTTATACCAATGTTCATCAACGATTCTCTAATTTATACATTATGACTGATGAATTAGAGAATCGTTGATGAACATTGGTATAAATACTGTGAGTTGATGTTATCAGTTAGATTATTTACTAGTATAATGGATATTTCACAGAGAACAACATGACAGTCAAATTTCATCGAGAATTGAATAAACACTGTTGTCATTTGATAATAGAGGAAGTAGAAGATAATCAATATATACAGATTCCTACATATAAAGTGGTTTGTTATTGTAGATTCAGTTGTTATTGTTGTTCTTAATTTGTTTGATCCAATCAGTTCCATCCTTAATTAAGTCTACAACATACTCAACATCTGATTGGTACCCATGTTACATATAACTGACCAATAAGGAGTGGCGACTCAAAATGACTCATATTTGCCATTTTCTATGATTGACACATATAGGGCTTGTCATATGTACACAGCGGTGGACGGGTCAATAGTTCTTGTAAAGGGCAGCATTGCTGTGTGCGGTCACTTTACAAGAGCTCATTGTTGTCCCTTGTAACATGGTAACAGTGATAAACGGTCTTCAGTCATGTCAAGCTCAAATTAAAGCCTGGTTACTGCTTTTCTGTTTAGTCAGTTGATGATGACCTGGTAGCTCAGTAAACATTAAGAGTATAGGTCAAATTACTAAGGTCATATTACTAGGTCAACTTACAATTACTGGAATTTTTCTTTAATTGAGGTCATAGCTAAATAGGCAGTATGCTTTAAAAGAGCTGAAACTAACATGTATGACCTCAAGCCTCTTGCATTTGGTAGTGAGGAGATGTTTCATTCCTCCTTTAATTCCTGTTAAGAGATTAGGTCACTGTAATGTCTGCCCACAACAAATGTAGGTCAGTTTTATAATTGCCGATCATGAGAGTATATATACCTAATCTGATAGTTTCATTACATAAGAAAGTATGCAGGTGATCTTATGATCATGTTGATACAACAGTCGTGTATTGGCTGTCCTTGACCTTATCAAACTTGATTAAATTTCGTGGTAAAATCTCTGCAGTATTGTTTCCAGCAATCCTTAATTTAAAGTTGTTGTAACTTGGATGTCACTCTAACTTTATATACATGATTTCTTATCATGAATTCAGATTATGTTATCATTTGCTGAAAATAAATTCCTCATTTTTTTATGGATTAAATAGACTGCATTGCGCCAATAACATTTATGAATTGATTACAATCCATGGCTCCACCAATATGTGCTGACATTGCAGAATTTTCTAAATCTTATCTGTATGTGCCAACATTGCATCTATTGACGACTGTTCCATAGCCAATTGTTCCTGCCATAATGACATCATCATTGATCTGAAAGCTTGGTAAGGATGGCTTATACTGGTTCTCATTCAAAATTGTATTGTTGATTTATCCTACATGTAAACATCTGAATACCGATAGATTAGTATTTTACATTATTTTTTTCCTTGAAAAATGAGTCACAATTGATTCTTCGGAAATCCGAATAACACTAATAAGGTAGTCATAAGCTGGTTACATATATATATCACAAGGCAAATTTTGTCTAATGAACTACATAGTAATACTAGAGGGTTCATCCCTAAGGGTTGGTATTACTCATGCCATTGTTTAGGTTAATTATTGGTGGGCGCCTCAATCAGACAGAGGTTTGTAATTCAAGATCAATATGTTCATAAGCAAACGTTTACGGGGCTCTGATCAATAACAAGGATTTGTGTACCAATATGTACCAGCTGCAGTGCCTTCCATAGGAAATGAGACTAAGATATGGAACACAAACTGTCCAGTAGCCTGGGAAACCATTTAATGGATTGGAATGATCAAACATTTTTAAACAACGCGATATGAGGAACATTTTACCAACATTAAGTTAAGAACCATATGCATGCTTCCCTATTTTACACAAGCAATTCATCTTTGTATGATATAATCAGAAACTGAAAGTAGCACAGCCACAATATCTACTTTAGAAAGCTGTTTGGATAAAACTGTACCTTACCTAAGTGCTCAGGACCTAGCGCCTCAACCAACAGATTGTGAAAGAACACCTGTGACAAGATTCTTATTCTTTATGCCTCAGTCACATTAGTGCCATAGGTAACTTTTGTTTACCCTGATCAGGGTGTTCATAAATGATGACACCATATCAGAAATACAGGTGTCCTATAATAATCGCTTTGATACATCCATCTGTCCGTCCTTCCACCTGCCTGTCCACAAAGTCACTTCAGATTGCTGACTGATAACTTCAGTATTTATAAACTGATTTACATAAAATTTGGTCAAGGCGTTCAGGTAGTGAAAATACATACATCGGCCAAAAAGCTGTGTCAGTAGCAAAAGTCATTGTGTCCAAAGGTCAATGTCAAATTTTGTACCTCTTCACCATGGTGATGATTTTGTTATGACATTATGAAGGAGAGTTCATTTGAATTTAACAACAAATCAGCTGACCAAAAGTCATGTTCAAAAAGTCAAAGGTCTAGGTCAGTAGGTCTAAAGGTCAAGGTCAAATTTTGTAGCTTTTCACTGATGAACATTGTGTCGTGACATTATGAAGCAAAGTTGGAGAGAAATAAACAAGATGTCAACCGACCAACAATACAGGCACTTTGTTTGACCTTTTAGTCCAGAGGTCAAGGACAAAGTGGATCATAATGAAACAAGAAGCCAACATACCAGAGATATCAAGGATACAAACATAGCTACACCACTGGGCTCTTGGTGACCTGTCAGTGCTGTAGTTAACATCATGACAAGATAAAAATAAGTAGTAAAGCAACAGCAACAAGAGGTCAGAACTAGAGGCTACAAATTCACATCTAATTTGCATCAGTTAAGAATTATATTCTTAAAAGCCGTTTGAAATGACAATGATAATGAAGAGTTGTTTTAGAGGATAATTTTTAAGGATTTATCAATGAAACATCAGTTTATCAATGTATCGGTTCTAACGATTTCCAGCTGTTTGGCCATTGGCACAGATGGCCAAGTCAATCTCTCCCAGAGTTCATCGCAGTACTCTACTTAATGCTGTGTCTGTAAGGAATGACAATTCTGGTAGAGATTTATTACTGTAGGTGTTTTTTTTTCAGTGCTGATATGCCTGGTAGGACAACACTGGTATACATAGAGATTGATGGTTGAATGTGTGTAGTCAATACAGACATGGCTGGACAATTTCTTCTCGAATGAAATCACATATCTTATCATTTGTATTTTTTCACCATATCAAATACTTTTACCCTATAAAGCTTCTTTCTGCATTCAGTAACTAGAACATATGCAGTTTAAATGTTCAGTGCAAGCATAAA